CCTCACTTACTTACTGCTTGGCCCAGGAGGCTTCCCTGAGGCCCAGAAGGCCCCCAAAATGGGGGTGGGGTCCTGCCAAAAACAGCCATGCCCACCCAGTCACGTGACCATGCCCACTAGCCATGCCCACCTAGCCATGCCTACAGAAACGGTTGTTACAAAATTTGAATCCTACCCCTGAACGAGGCGCTTGAACCTTTTCCATAATGCTTCAGCCTATCTCACAACCCAAGGAGGGGAGATTGGAATGCATCCACCAGGCAACATACACGTCCAATACACACAATATAGGGAATTCCCCACCATCCAGTCAGAACTGAGGAAGCTTCTTGGATGAGAAGCAAAATGCCTTCAAAGAAAAACCAGAAAGTCCGGTAACCTCTTGTGGGATGGGGGGGAAGCACCTTTGGGACAAGCTAATGAAAGGAGCTGCATTTGCAGTGTGTCTTATGACAAGAGCAAAGCCTAATTCAGGAAACTTTTTGTGCGCAAATAACCTGGTTCAGAGTGACGCGAACCCTGTTGCTAAGGATGGGGTTTTCCGACTTCCCATCCTCACCCCAAAATTGCCAGCTGATGAAATACACTGAAATGAATTTTGCAGTAGGAAAACGAGGACATTAAAATCAGTCCCAAATAGCAAGAATCACTCAGCCGTGGACTCTGCTGGGAAGTGCTGAAATCTGTTTTGAAAGAGACATTCAGGGAAAGGTTGGGGGAAGCGGGGGGGGGGGGGGGGGGGGGGCAAAATTTTATCCTGCACTGCGCGAAGGGTGATGTGGGTCTGGCAGGTGTGCTCTGAGGGCCAGCAGGTGTGCAGAAAAGCAGATTCTAGCTTCCTGCCATCATCTCATGAGCAGTCAATATGTCTTCCTCTTTCCTCCATGCTGGCCCCCTCACTGGAAATAGCCAGGAGTGTGATTCAACCGGTGTAACAACTAGTTCAGTGATTGTGCACGTGTGCCAAATGTGCACTTCGCGTGTGCACAGACGGTTTGCTACTGACCTTCTCCTGCAATCCTGCACTCTTCCTGTGTGTTCAACAGCTGACGCGTGGCAATCCGCCGTGCCGCGCGAAGCAGCTGAGCTTCAAACCAGGAAATAAAGGTCAGAATAGAGCCGGGGCGGGCAGGCCCAACAGCTGATCGTTGGAGCAAACCAGTTCACTCACAAATGATCCTTGGAGCTTCCAGTTCAGCCGAACCGGGCCAAACCGGTAGAATCCCACCTCTGGAAATAACTTCTTGGAAGGAGAAACAGTGGAGATTTCATCTGCCTTCCATGCACATATTTTTATCCCCAGAGAAAGGGGGAAGTTTCATAACAAGAGGACTTGGGCAGCATATACCCTTCAATAAGAACAAAGGAATCGAGGGACTTCCGGTTTGAAGGGCTTCGGCGACAGACAGAAATCCATGATAGTGCGCGGTTTCTGTCTGGGCTCGCCTCTGGAGCGCCCCGACCCGGCTGGTTTCGGGGCTAAGCCACCCCGTAGAGGTGGTGAAGAGAGGGAAGACCGCCAGCAGGGTTGAGGAGAGCCGCATCTCTCCTCCTCAGCTGGCCATTACTCCCTTTCCCGAAGGCGGTTGCAGCAGTGGTCAGAAATGGCCACCACAAAGGAGAACTCGACTGGAAAAGAATGTGCAGGAGGAAGATAAGAAGTGAAAGTTTTGGCTGATTGGGTTAAATTGTAAAAGCAACAACTAAGGTACCCTGGAATTTAAACTTACAAAAAATAACATCGCTCCCAAAGAAGAGTCGGAAGCAGCGAAGGAAAGTGAAAAGGGAAAGGTTTGGCTTTTTTTTTCTTCTCTCTCCTTCCCTATACTGACAACTAAGAGAATTAAATAAGAAATCAGAAAAATCCGCTTTGACATCAATAGGCAATTAAGCTGAAAATAAAACAAAATGCCAAAGGGATAATAAAGATTTCTGGACATTAAAAATTTTCTTTTTCATAAGCAGGAAGGGAGAGAAAAAGAATAAGGGCAGGATCTGGAAGAGGGAGGAGACTGCCTGGAATTAAAAAGAATCTACAGTAAAACTTCAACAAGACTTCTAAAAGATACATTTTAACTGAAACTTTGCAACTAAATAGTAACCCCAGGAAGAGAAAGTGAAAAAAAAGAGCAAAAAAGAAACAGCTTGCGTGTATTTGGATTATTTGGTGATCTTTGGATTCTTGGTTATTATATTTGAATGACTAAAATCAATCAGGTGGTTGTTTAAAAATTTATACAATGGCACCACTTCTGGATGAATTGAAAATGCAACTTAAAAAGTACAAAGAAGATGCACAAGAAGGGAAGGGTTCTTTTGGCTTCGTTTTTCAATTCTTAGAAATGGAGATTTGGAACTATGAGAAACAACAAGAAAAGACTGCAAAACAAGAAGACTGGGACAAAGAAGGAGCCATCTTTAATGAACAAGCAATTTTATGTGGGGAAGAAAAAGGAAAGGGGGCAAAGAGAGTGGAGAATTTAAGACTTAAAAAAACAACCAAAGAAAAGAAAAAAAATAAGTATAATACTGGAAAGCAACAGAAAAGGGGAATACAGAAGAGAGAAATAGAGGTAGAGAGACAAGGGGGTAAAAAGGGGAGAGAGAAGAAGAGAGGGAAGAAGGAAAGGAAAAGAAGTTACAAAGGACTGGAGCAAGATATAGAGAAACAGGACCTATTTAGAGATAATGGGTGAAAATCTAACTGAAAAAGGGATTCTGTAAAGGTACATAAGATTGTATTGTTATATTAGTAATAGAAATAACTTTAGAAAATTGGAAACAACGTATGATTAAAATGAGGGATAAAATAGTTAGTGTAATTTAGTGAAATGTTTGTGAATAAAATAAGTGAAATAAAATAAATGAGTAAATTGAATTAGGAAGGAACGGGAACATTTTAATTAGTTAATGTTTTATAAAATATAATTGAAGAGGGGGGGAATTAACTATGGAAAGCTTATAATTGTTCCCATAGAAGTATGATATTTAATTGAAAAGTAATGTTAAAGATGTTAAGACTTTAATGAATATTAATATTAATGATAGAATTGAATTGGAATGGAATGTTGTTTTAATTATATATATTTATATTTTTTTTCTTTTTTTAAGAATACAGTGTGTATTTTAAGAATGTACCAAGCAGAATCCGAATGGAAGTTATGTATTATATTGAATGTTACAACTTTAGAGAAAAGATATAAAGGCGTCATACTCCAATCAGTAACTACAGGAGAAAATTTGTTTAATGAGAAAAGATAATAGATAATTGAAACAGGACAGACAAAAAATATAAATACAATGATTTGAATTGAGATGAGATAATTAAAATAAAATTGAGAAAATTAAAAGAGGGGAGAAGCTATGCAGAAAATGTAAAATAGTAATAAGATATGGAATAGAATATAAAAATGAGCATGAACCTGAATTTGTGTCTGTATGAAGAAATGTAACCCGGGATTACGCTACTTTCAAAAAAGATGTTTTATTTGTATTTTTTTTTTCTCTTTGTGAAAACTCAAATAAAATTTACAAAAAAACAAAAAAAAGAACAAAGGAATCGAGACTGGAGAAGCTCTGGAATGTTAGGATTCAAACCAACAAGCACCTGCCATGCAACGCCCCAGACTTAACGACTGCTGATAAGAACGTAGAGATGAAATATGCAATCACAGTGCTGGGAGGGACTTTGGAGACCTTCAACTCTCTGCCCAAGCTAGAGACTGGCTGGAGAATTCTGGGAGTTGAAGTCCACAAGTCTTAAAGTTGCCAAGTTTGGAGACCTCTGACCTAGACCATTTCAGGCAAATGGCTGCCCGGTCTCTTCTGAAAACTTCCAGTGATGGAACATCCACAACTTGGAAAATTATCCAAGAGAGATCCAACCTAGAAGTGAGGAGACATTTCCTGACAGTGAGAACAATTAACCCGTGGAATGTCTTCCCTGTGGATGCTCCACCACTGGAGGGTTTTAAGGAGAGACTGGACTGCCATTTGCCCAGAATGGTTACAGGTCTCCTGCTTGAGAAGAGGGTTGGATTAGAAGACCTCCAAGGTCCCTTCCAACTCTGATACCTGTATCCTGTAACAGATGCCTTGGGTGCAATCCCAAAAACAATTGGAGCATCCCTTGAACACCGCCAGCATTGACAAAATCATCCCGAATCAATTGCAAAAGGCGGCTTTACTTGGAACAGCTTACATCCTGCGACAAGTCCTTTAATACCATCAGACCACAACATCTGCCTTTCCCAGGACTTTGGGAAGGACTCAGTAGGTGGATACAAATGTCAAATACAGTCCAAACATCTGGCTGACTGAGCAATGAACCATAATAGTAATAATATTGATTAGAAAAGATTTGTTACTCTTCTGAAAAAAAAACAACCAGAGTATTTCAAGGACTAACCAGTCTAAGCAGCTGGATTTTGGGATAAAATGTCATGGCAAATCGTATCTACTTGTTGTCCACTCTTTGAAATGGGCATGACCCAGAATATGGATCATGTGCTAATCAATATACCCCACAACCTTTTATTTGACTGGCCTGGGGTGTCTGTGAAGCAGTTTTGGCCAGCTCTTCCTGGCCTTCATTGAGCCAGGTGAGTGTACCTGAGTACAGAAGAAGCTCTTGGTAATAGAGCTTCTTTTCTTTTCCTTCCTTCCTTCCTTCCTTCCTTCCTTCCTTCCTTCCTTCCTTCCTTCCTTCCTTCCTTCCTTCCTTCCTTTCTTTCTTTCTTTCTTTCTTTCTTTCTTTCTATTTCTTTCTTCTCTTGCTTTCTCTTACGTTCTTTCACTTCCTTCCTTCCCCCCGAACTCTCTCTCTTTCTTTCTTTCTCTAGCAAGGAGCAGTCAGGGTCTCCACTCATCTGCCTTCTATCAGCACCAGGCCTGGCTTGTGGACGCCGTGCCCCCAAATGGCTTTCAACCTGCCCCAGCTAAAGTGTGGGAATGCAACGGTGCCCCCCACTCCAGATAACCCTATCTACAAGAGAACTTACCCTTTCTCCAGGATCTCCCATTGGCCCCGCTGGCCCCATTGTTCCCGGAGGGCCTGGAATCCCCTGATGGAGGAGAGAAAGAAGGACAGTCAGCTCCAAGGGGAGGAAGGGAGTTCTCACACTCATCACGGAGGAGATAAACCCAAGAGGGACCCGGTTACTTCTGCATGGTCAAATTGACCTGGGAGGCAAGCCACGGAGCACCATGTTCACCCACGGAAGCAGCTGCGGGCGAGAGCAGCTGCCTTCTGCAGACTTGCTCCAGCCACAGCGGAGAAGACCCATCCACATCCCTGGGGCAAAAAGGCAAAGGGAGGCAAGCAACTTACGGCTGGGCCTTCTGGGCCAGGCGGCCCTTCGAGAAGCATGCCCTGAAAAAGAAGGAGGAAGAGATGAAAAACACAGAACAGCACCGGACACTGCCCGTCACAACTATCAGCACCAGTTGCCTTGTACATGGCTGAATCCCCCCACCCACCCCCACCCCCATAGCCATCACTGCCTTCCGTGTGGAGACTCCTGGGAGGGGAGGGGCAGGGTGGACCAGCCGGTCGGTTCAACTACCGATTTGGTGAATCAGATGTAAATTTAACATCCGGTTCACCCAAACCAGTCCAAACTGGCTGAATCCCAACCCTGGAAGAAGCACTATCTATGCTGTCTTAACAGATCACTAACAGATAATCAGAGTTGGAAGGGACCTTGTAGGTCATCTAGTCCAACCCCCCCCCACCCAAGCGGGAGACCCTACACCATTTCTGATAGATGGCAGCCCAGTCTCTTCTTGAAAGTCTCAAGTGATGAAGCTCCCACAACTTCCAAAGGCAACTTCTGTTCCATCGGTTGATTGTCCTCACTGTCAGGAAATCTCTCCTTCTTTCCAGGTTAAATCTCTCCTTGTTCAGCTTCCATCCATTGTTCCTTGTCTGGCCTTCGGGTGCTTTAGAAAACAGCTTGACCCCCTCCTCCTCTCTGGGGAAGCCCCTCAAATATTGGAAGACTGCTATCATGTCTCCCCTGGTCCTTCTCTTCACTAGACTAACCAAACCCAGTTCCTGTAAGCGTTTTTTGTATGTTTTAATCTACAGTCCCCTAATCCAGCAGTCGCCAACCTGTGGGCTGCAGCCCACTGGTGGGCCGTGAAAAAATGTTGGTGGGCCGCAGAGAAATCTCATCCCCAGAGCACCCCGCTAAAGCAATTAATCCAGGCTGCACAGAAACACAAGGCTGCGCTGCCCACATGGCCCACGGAAACCCTCCCAGCCTACTCACTCCTTACCCGGTAAACTTGCCTGCTAAATTTCTATTTTTCCTTTTTCCGACCATCATCTGTTCTGCTCTGCTGGGAGATTTAGATTAGCTAGGAAGCAGAAAATGGTTGGATTTCTTGCTTTCTAGCTAGTCTTTAGATCTTCGGCTCTGCTTTTAAGTACAGCCGAACTTCCCTTAGGACTGAAGTTTTGCTTGCAAGCAAATTCAGTACAGACTCACAGCAAGCAAATTTGAGAGACTGAGCTAGCCGATGGCAGATAGATAGATCACTGAATGATTCTGTGAGCAACTCAATCTGCCTGCTTTGCCTGCTTTTGGGTAAAAGTTGCTCTTTTTTTAAATAAAAAATCAATATTTACATGCATGGTGTGTTATGAGTTAATTTTGTGAGTTTGCTTGCAAGCAAATTTTATGTGAAAGACTGAGCTAGCCAATGGCAGATAGACAGATTTCTGAATGAATCTGTGATTCTCAGAGTAACTCAATCTGCCTGCCTGCTTTGCCTGATTTTGGGTAAAAGTTGCTCTTTTTAAAAAATAAAAAAATCAATATTTATATAAATATTTATAATATTTACATACAAGCCATGCCCAGCCAGTCACATGACCACCAAGTCACACCCACAAATTAGGTCACACCCACAGAACCAGTTAGTGGTCCCTGGGATCTAAAATTATGAGTTTGGTGGTCCCTGAGGTCCAAAAGGTTGGCGACCCCTGCCCTAATCATCCTGGTTGCTCTTCTCTGTATTTTTTCTAGAGTCTCAACATCTTTTTTGTAATGTCTTAAGCCCTTGAGGAAAGTTAGGCACTGAAGGGCCAAACGAAGAGGGTGGGCTGCAAAATGCACATACAGGGACCAAACGTCTGCGTTATCTCCTGATTGAGGAACCCAGGAAGATCTGGCAGAACGGACTTCCTAAATGTCCCACCACTGACAACATTTCGTCTCCAGGGATTATTAGTTTGGCCCTTCTCAATTATGACCGCTTTCATCCTAGATTACTATATTTTTGAAGAGCACCTCAAAACAAGGCTCTCCCAAAAGACATTTGGGAGACAAATCACGAGGAAGGGTGCAACCTCGGATTGATTGTTTATAAGTGTATTGTTTGATGTTTGCGTTTAATTTTAATAAAGATAAGGGGCATTCACATTGCAGCCCTGGTCAAAAGGGCCCAGCAGAGATTAGACTACCTGAGGCTTCTCAGGAAACAACAACTGAATGGAAAACTGCTGGTGACCTTCTACCGCTGCACCATAGAGAGTATCTTAACTTACTGCACCTGTGGATGGTTTGCCAATTGCACAGGGGCAGGTAGGACAGCACCCCAGAGGGTGAACATCATTGCCCAGAGAATCTTTGGTTGTCCTCTCCCCTCTTTGGAAGAGCTTTAGAGCTCCCGCTGCCTTAAGAAAGTTCAAAACATTCTCAAAGATCCATCTCATCCTGGGCACCTTTTTTTTTAACTATTACCATCTGGCAGATGGTACAGGACAATAAAAACAAGGACAAATAGGCTGAAAAACAGTTTCTATCCCAGGGCAGGAGCTCCTTTGAATTCTACTGTATTGTGCAATATGAATGCAATATCAGGGGTTTTCAATTCAATTGTATAGAATGTGAAGGATGTGTGTTTGTGTTTTATTTTTATAGTTATACTGTACATTGAAGATGGCATTTAATTCCATTGTATGAGGTGCGATGACAATAAAGTAAACTAAACTAATTATATGATATTAATACTGTAGCCGTTCAAATTTTCTGGACATACAGCATGAAAGAAGTTGTAGAAATGGATGAATAGTCAATCAAACCAAATTCGTTTCAGCTTGCTGTGACATGAGGAGGGTGGCGAGAACTCTCAGCTGCCAACTGTCTGGCATACTATCCAAGTGGGCAGAGCATTGCAGGACTGGAAAGATGAGAATTGTGTTTGCCTTGTCCAAAAAAAACCCCAAACACTAATAAAAAAACCCAGCAGAAAACACAAGTTCTGAAGCCAAGGAAGGGTTTGGGAACTGAACAATCTTAAAATCATTAAGACTGGAATTAGTGAATGTTTAAGGCACCACAAACCTTTTTCCTATCTGCACAAAAGATTAAAGTACTTTCTATCAAAATCTAAACATTTGCATGAGAGAGAGAGAGAGAAAAACAATCCAGTGGTTTGTATCTGGATTTCTGCAGTGACCGATTATGCCTTCAGATGTCCGAATGTGCTTTATATGGCTACAACAGAGGGGGAAATAAGCTGCTGAAAATGAATGTGAGTGAGTCGAAAATGATCTACTCCTTGAATAAACACACTAACACAAAAAACACATGTTTGTGCCATCAAAGAGGTGGTGGGAAAAGTGGGACTGAAGCACACCAGGAATTCCCTGGCATCTCTACAGGCAGGTGGGGAGACAGCAGAGGCTCAGCCCTGGGATCGAAGCTGGCTCTCCAGACTGTGCTGGACCATGATACCCATCGTCCCAGGCTGGCTGGGGATGGTGGCCATTGTAGTGGGGCTGCACAGTCAAGCAGGGCAGAGGGAGATGTGGAAAGTAGCCCTTCCTGTCTCTGCCAGCTGTCATTCAGGCTACTTCTGGCCCAGAGCTGAATGTTCTTCTGGAATAGTGCCAAACCCTTGTCTAAAAGGAGCCCAATTTAGGACCCTAACCCTAATGCTAAGTGGAAGTTCCTGCAATTGGATTTTACCATGTATTTTACAGTAGAACCTTCTACGAATGCCTCTGACTATGACCAAGTCAGGTTCCAACCAAAACATTCACAACATGTTTTAATTTGGTCACGAACACATACTCGGGTGGAAAAGGAAACACGGCCCCTGACCCAGAAATTCCTGAAGACAAAACATTAGAAGACAAAGAAATCGCCCAAGTTATGGAACGAATTATGGTTGTGACCAGAGGTTCTCTGTACCAGGAAACCTAGATAAGGCAGGCTCAAACAGGGGGCCCCCTCCTAAGCATAACGGAGCTCTCCGATTCCATTGGTAACGTCTATTTTGCTCTCCAAACTTATGGCAAGCTAACCCTAACCTTAACCCTAAGGTTGTCTAAAAGGAGCCCAACTGTCATGCCCCTGTTAGAATCTGACTCTGAGGGAGAGGAGGAACAGCTGACAGGGAGTGGGAGTGTGGCTCTGGAGGTTGTAGAGGAAACTGGGGAAGGGCACAGGCCAGCTGGGCATTCAGAGGAAGACCCAGGCCCATCCCCTCTTCATCCTAGGGCACGTAGGGAGGAAACGATAAGGGAGAAACATGAATGGCGTGGTCTACAGGGGAGAAAAGGGCCTTGATCCCCTTCATGGGCTGCAGCTGTGAGGACTGTTTAAAAGGACAAACTGCACATGGGCCAGTGCTGGAAGCAAAGCGTGAAAATATTTCTAGTCTGTCAGTTCTTATCTGAGTTCTGGCCTCCTTCCCAGTGTGTGTATTTCGATATCTGTGGACGTCTTCAAGCCCTTATCCTGCCTGGTCTCATTAATTTTTCAGTGTGGTTTGTGTTGTTTTTTTTCTATTTATAATTTATAAGTATTTTGAGTTTGAAAGGAAGTTCTTCCTTTTCGCAACTGTTTGTGGGGGAGTTTTTTCTCCAGTCAATGAAAACTGGACCTTTAAAGCCAAGTTGAAGGAATTAAAGGGACTTCATCTGTTTTTGTGACTTTGTTGCTTTTGTATCCCACCCTGGGTCATCACACCAACTGATTAAGTACCAGCTGTCACACACCCTTCCCACAAAGCACCTGGGCAAAAGCGAAGGAAACATTGGCAGAGGGCAGTTAAGTGGCAGGTGTCTTCCACTGGATGGGGACATTTAATGGGGGACGGGGAGAGGAGACCCCAGTAATCCCTGTCTTCTGGGCTCCGTACAAATGAGGGTGGGGTCTTCTAAAGGTGCCATGCCTGAGGCAGGGCAGGAATCGCCAAGGGGGACAGCACATTTTATGCTTGTGTTGGTTCAATGTCCAGTGGAGGCCTTTCTCTCAATCCTGAAAGAGCCTTGAGATGAAACGTTATGGTGAACCTTTTGGGCACATACCCAAAATGCAAGGCGCCCCCCGTGCATGCACCCCACCCTCACACATGCATGGCAGAGACAGGTGCCACAGGTTCGCCACCACTGCTCTATGTTGCTGGCCTGGAATAAGGGCCTGTGGTGCTCAGTCACAACTTTAATCCCATGATGCTACTGATGCCTACACTGTATATCTTCTCAACAGTCAGTACAAGACAGTACAAGAACGCCATGGTAGAGCAGTACCTGAGGAGCTACATGAATTGTCAGCAGTCTAATTGGGCAGACCTCCTGCCTTTTGTGGAGGTCACGTACAATAATGCTGTTCACAGTAGCACGGGACTAACCCCCTTCTAGGTTCTACACAGAAAATGCAATCAAGCCTGGGGGTGGGGTTGCAACCCTAAGTCCTACACCTGCAATAAATTTGTTTTCTTTTTGTGTGTCGTACAGGTCACTTTCAAGAAGTGAGGGGAGCCGAATGTCAACTCATAAAATATTTCTATGGTCATTTTAGAATTGCCAACAGAAAGGGAGGTGGGAAAGGGGTTTGAAAGAGCAGTGCGGCAGCTTGGAAATTGAAAGCACATTCCATAAATAGTTTTTCAAAGATAGTAACTAGGTGACTGAAGTTTCTGCCCCACAAAAATCTAACTGGAGAACATGATTGATGACTCTTCGCTATGGATGTGTTTCATTGGAGAATATGAATTATGATACACCCAGAGGGGTTGAGGGGGAAAACCATGGTCAAGGGTGACAGTAAATTACGTGTCTCAGAGTTGGCTACACCCAGGCAATGCCGGACATGTTAACTCCCAATAAATCCTTTTGAAGTTTTGGAAGTTTGGCTCAAGACTCATGATTTAAATGGGGGTAACTGCTGGAACCCTGACACCTGGCCTGAAATGAGGCTGAAGGAGGCCGAGCCTTTTCTCCTCTCTGATCAGCTCAGCCGCAGCTCATGTCCACGTTCATTTCCACATACTCTACCTAAGCCAAAAAAAGAGGGTCCCACAGAGTCCTTGGCCAGCCTATTCCCACCTGTGCAAGAATCCCAACCTCCACGTCAGAGACCTCTACCCTTTCACGTGATCCGGGACTCCGGATTTCCACCTGCCATTTCAGGCATCTCTCTGTGATGCGGTCAGGAAGCAAGCGAATACGAGGCCAGGCAATGCAACCATTAAGGTTCACAGACTAAACACCCAGATCCGGTCGCTGGAGGTTCCCACGGGAAACGTGGAGGCCTCAACTGTGAGGCTCCGCAGCACACCTTTACCTGCAAAGCAAGAGTACTTACTGGCTCAATGATTGCTGGCTCTCCCTTCTGCCCCTTTTCACCTCGAGGACCACCGATCTGCACCCGAGGAAGAGAAAGCAAGTCAGGAAAGTGGGATTAAAAAAAAATGCAAGCAGGGACATAAAACCCCAAAATAAATGCAAAGCGCCAGTACTTTTACCCTTGCAGGCTGACTGATTTTTGATGCTTGGTGCTTGGTATTCAATTCGCAACAATCTTGGGACAGTTTGCTTAACGAGAGACTCACCTCACCAGCCTGAATTCATCCCACCCAAACCCTCGCGTCTTCTCTTACTGTGACCCAAAGGCGCTATATTCCGCGTTAATGTTGGTACAAAGGCAGATGGCAACTGCAAACCCGACCTTGGAATTTGCTCTGCATTTTCAAAGAAAGTTTTTTAAAAATGCCACACCACAATTCCAAGTATTGGGGTTTCATCTTCCATTATCTGTTGGACGGTCTATCCAGTTATATGCACAAATATAGATCTCCCCAGTCAAACATTATGTTTCAATGAGGTTAGAATAACAGATTTGGAAGGGACCTTGGAGGTCTTCTAGTCCAACCCCCTGCTCAGGCAGGAAATCCTGTACCATTTCAGACAAATGACTGTCCAATCTCTTCTTAAAAACGTCCACTGTTTGGAGCATTTATAACTTCTGCAGGCAAGCAGTTCCACTGGTTAATTGTTCTCACTATCAGGAAATTCCTCCTTAGTTCCAGGTTGCTTCTCTCCTTGACCGGTTTCCACCCGTGGCTTCTTGTCCTGCCTTCTTGTGCTTTGGAGAATAGCTCGACCCCCAACTCTTCTTTGGGGCAGCCCCTGAGATATCGGAACACTGCTATCATGTCCCCCCTGGTCCTTCTTTTCACTAAACTAGACGTGCCCAATCCCAGCAACCGTCCTTTGTATGTTTCAGCCTCCAGTCCCCTCGTCATCCTTCTTGCTCTTCTCTGCCCTCTTTCCAGAGTCTCAACCAATGAACAAAATTCACTGGTTGCTTCTTTGGAATCTGTAACAATTGCACAGAAATGGCAAGAATGCATGCAAATAGGCAGAAAGACATGGTGGTTAGCCTCCGATCCTGGGCGTTTCACTTGGGGATTCGTTGGAACCGTCCGTTTGACTTGGAGCACCTACATTTTTGCAGGCAATGGCCGGAATTCTTAGCATAAGATCCCATCATCTCTGGCCCAGCCGTGATGTGGACTACATCTGCCCAGGAACTGGAGCCTAACTCTCAGACAGAGACAGAGTCCTTCCTCACCCCTTCATAAATGGTATCCTGGTTAGCAGGCATTCCGGGTCCAATGTCAGGGGAGTCAGTCCTGTCGAAGTAGCCATCATAATATGCTTCTCCATATTCAGTGACGGAGAAATCTCTGTCGGGGTCTTCTCCGCCTTCAGTTACTCTTCCTGTGTTCTGAGATAATAATAATAATAATAATAATAATAATAATAATAATAATAATAAT